AAAACAACAACAACAGAAATCAGTAAAGAAAAAAAAACCATGTCATGATCATTTACACATGTATCGTTTACACTTGTTTCACATACAAATTGATGAATTTCACCACCGCCACCACCACCATCATCATTAATTTTATAAATCAATTTAAATTGCCAATGGCACAGCAAACACCACCACCACCACCACCACCACCAAAACTAAAACCAAAATAATGCCTTTCAATGACGATGTATGTTAGATTAATATTCATTACGGTTTGGTGAATTTCCATTCAATAAAAAAAAAAAAAAAAATTTTTTTTGTTCTTTTTTCTTCAATTTTTTTTCTTACTTCGTTATGGACACACACACACATGACATGTGTGAAAAAAAAATTGCATGATCATTATCGATATGGAGAAAAAGAAAATTTGTTCCAAAAAGTGTCTGTTTCTCTCTCTCTGTGTGCATGCATTTTTCTGCCATTTCATTTAACATTTGATGATGATGATGATGATCCATTACTAAACATTGATATATGAGACATTGATTTTTATTTTTTTTATACATAATAACAACATCATATCACATGATGATGATGATGATGATGATGTTGTTTTATTTAATTTTCATCATTCAGGCTCAAAAACTTGCAATTTATAAACCGAAAATAAAAAAAAATGTTCCTTGTTCATCATCATCATCATCATCATCATTATCATGATCATGATCTTGATTTTCAGACTGATTTTCATCTGTGTCTCACCCTATTGCTTTTTTTTTTTATATCGGTGTATGCCCTTATATTATCTTAAAGAATGTTTGTTCCAAAACATAAAGTAGAAAACAAAACTTATAATGATTTTGCACTTGAATGCAATTAATTAATACGAAGAAGAAGAAGGAGAAGAAAATAAAAATAAATGGATAGAGAAAGTAGGAGGAGTAGTTGTAGTATTAGTATCCGCAGAAAATGGAAGAAAAAAAAAGGTAATGAAAGCAATGTAGAAACAAAAAAATTGATTAAAAAAAAGCCAAACACACACACACACATATACAGTATGGATTGCTAATCATTATCATCACCATAATCATTTTCAAAGACGATGAAAATCATCATCATCATACATATCCAATAAACCCAGGGAGATTTTTTTTTTTTTTTTTTTTTACGAGCGAAAAAAAAAAAAATCACTTTATTTAATACACTATTAGTGTATATATATATATACATTATGGAAAAAAAATTACCTAAGAAGAAAAAGTATTTGAAGAAGACAGCCAAAAAAAAAAAAAAATTACAAAAATTTACCCTAGAGCCTTTTTGTTTTATTTTAATCATCATCATCATCATTATCATTAATTTTTTTTTCTGAAATAAAAAACCTGGATAAATTTTTTTTTTTTTTTTTTTGATCATTCAATTTTGAAATGATATTTTTTTTTTTGCTTGATGATGATGATGATGATGATGTAAAGCAAAAGCATAAAAAAATTGAAAAAATAATTTCCATAATAAAAACTAGCCAAAAATTAAATGAAAAAAAACTGAATCTGAACACGTGTAGGCGGAGATGTCGATAATCGATCGTCCATCAATCGATTGATGGCTATATATATATATATAAAAATAATAAATCAATTTATTATTATTTATTATATCTCCATTATTACTACTATTAATGGCCGAATAAAAACTAAAAAAAAAAATTTATAATCATAATAATTTGGTGCCATAATTATTGATTTAATGAAATTTCATTTTATTCTTGAATTAAAAAAAAGTAGAAGAAGAAGAAAAAGAAAAATTTGAATGACCCTTTCATTACATTTTCTAAATGGCAAAATCATCAAATGATGATGACCATCATCATCATCATCATCATCATCATTGAATTATTCTCATTTCAAACTAGAAAAAATAACAAAAATCAATTGATCGCCTCTTTTTTTTATTCATTTCTTTCATTGCCGATAGTTGTTGAACAACAACAACAACAACAACAAAATTCTTTTCAATTCTTTCAGATTATTTATTTTATTGTAATCATCATCATTCATTCATTCATTTGATGAATATCAAAAAAAAAAAAAAAAAAAAAATCAATTTCAATCATGTTGGCAACAACAATAATCATCATCATCATCAATAACTATCGATAATTTCAATCAATAAATTTTGTTTTTTTGTCAATATTTATTGACCAATTTCAATTTATTTGAACATTTAACATCATTCTCATCATCATCATCATCATCATCATCGACATTAAACCATCAACAACGAATTTTTTTTTCTTGGAAATGAAATTTTTTTTAATCATCAACAACAACATCAACGATGAAAACAATAACAACATTTTTAATCTCTAATTCACACACACACACACACACAAGGGGCAAAATTATATATTTATTCTTTCTTTTTTTTTGTTGTTGTTGTTGAAAATTTGCAAAAACACTTGGCCAACAACAACAACAAGAAGAAAGAATTTGAATGATGATGATGATGATGATGAAAAATGGCATGTTTTTGTTGTTGTTGTTGTTGTTGCTGCTGCTGTTAAAGTCATTAAACCATCTCAAACACACATGGCCAAGAAAGAAAGCTTTTTCGGTTGATCATTAATCGAAAGCCAAAAAAAAAAAAAAAGAAGAAAAAAACCAACCAATATTACCCATACATATAATACAGCAAGAAAAAAAACACACACACCCGAATACAAATAATACACAGAACCAAAATCAACCAACAAAGCGAAGAAAAACAACAACAACAACAACAACAACACAACCAAAAGCCGAAAAAAAAAAAAACGATAATCAACAACCATTAAATAGAAAAAAAAAGAAGAAAAAACCTGGCCATTGAAACTAATATTTTCTTTTTTCACTAGGCTATAGATATGTTGTAGTTTTCGTTTTTCTTCTTCTTCTTCTTCTCTTCTTCTTCTTCATCTGACTGATCATCATCATCATCATCGTCGTCGTTCTTCGTTCGTCAAATACACACACACACAGACAGAAATTGGACATAGGAAAAAAAAGAACAAAATTTCAATCATTTTCATTCAAAATCTTCATCCACCAACACACAAACACACACACACACACACACACACACAAACCAGTGGTCTCTTTAAGAATAAAAATAAAACTAACGTTTATTCTTCAAATACAAACATCATCTTCCATTTTCGGTTATAAAAAATTGTTTTCTTCATTTTCATCATCATCATCATCATTTCAAATCATTAATTAATTAATTAATTATGTGATGTGAATTTTTTCTTCTGTTTTGTTTTTCATTCCACCAACCAACCAACCAACCAACAACACAAACAACAAGCAAACAAACCAGAGATTTTTTTTTCGATTTTGTTTTCGGGTAAATGTTTTATTTCTTCTCGTTGCTGCTGTTTTTATTTTATTTTTTTTTACCGCGTGTTTTCATCATCATCATCAACAGTTGTTTATTTATAAAAGTAACGTGTTTTTTTATTCAATCTTTAGAAATCTTCAAAGCAAAAAAAAATCCACACTCAGACACACAACCAACAATCATTTTTGGCCTAAAAACAACAACAACAACAACAAACTTTGAAAATATAAAGATTTTCTGTTTCTGTTTTGTTTTGTTTTCTTCAATGTTTCTTCCCGCGTTTTTATTTTTCTGGTTAGTAGTTTAGTATGTTGGATTGCTACAAAAAAAAACTATAACCAGTATTGCTGCTGTTGTTGTTGTTGTTGTTGTCGTCGTCGTCGTCGTTGTTGTTGTTGTTGTTGTTGTAAATGTTCAATGTGGTAGTTTTGCATATATCATTATCGAATGGTTTAAAAAAACGAAGATTTTCGCATTTTATTTTCCGTGTGTGTGTGTGTGTGTGTACAACCAAAAAAATAAAAAATAAATTGGTGACGCTTTTCTATTCTCCATGTTTTTGTGTGTGTGTGTGTGTGTGGTAAAATGTATTAGGGTATTATACACAAAAAAAAAACATGGCCTGAATATAAGGAACCTTCGAATTTTTTCTTTTCTTTTTTTTTCCTAAAAAAAAAATCTTAACGAATACAACAACAACAACAACACATTTTTCTGTCGTCGTCATAGTCTTTATTTGTCATTCATTCATTCATGTTGTTGTTGTTGTTGTTATTGGCGATGGTGGTGGTGGTGGTGGTGGTAACCATTTACTTATTCTTCATCGGCCGGTCGAAGGTCATCAAATGATTATTTTGAATAAAAAAAAAATTTCTGTCTTTGTGTTCAAGTCTGTTTTTTTTAGACATCATCATCAAAACACACAGATTTTTTTTCTGTTTCACCTTTTTTTTGCAGATAATTAATCAATTAATTAATTGATCAATCAAAGAAGAAAAAATGTCTGGTGACAATCTATGTGTCCGTGTAGTGAATTTAAACTTTGACATATAAGTCCATCATCAAGTGTGGTTATCCACCAAAAAAAAAAACATCGTGATTATCATCCATGATTCTGATGAATTAGAGAAAAAAGTGAGCGAGAGAAAAATGATTCATGGAAACGAAACAAAAAAAAAAAAATTTTTTTTTGATTACCGTTACCATTAATTTGATTTTGATTGAGTTTTATTTTAAATATAATTTATTTATTTTTTTCATCATTATCAACCACCACCACCACCACCACGATCACCACCACCACTACTACTACTACTACTACTACTAATGAATGATTATTTGATTGTATCGATGATGATGATGATGATAATAATAATGAGGAAGAACCATGATCCATAAATGTTTGTCTTTGATAACATCCATCAAAATGTCGTTTATTTTAATGAAATAGAGAAAGAAATGTCATACACACACACACACACACACATGCTACTATCATCATCATATCATTATCATTTCTTCAAAAAAAAAAAAAAAAAATGTCGATTATTTATGGTTTGGTTTGGTTTTTTTCATTTTGATGTTTTGTCAATTTGTTTATCATCATCATCATCATTAATGATTATTGGTGTTGTTGTTGTTGTGGTGGTGGTGGCGGTGATGGTGGTGGTGGTTGTTTATGGTGACTTTTTTTTTTTGTTGTTCTTACACTTAATATTGTTGTTGTTGTTGTTGTTGTTGAATTATTAATTTCTTTTTTTCTTTTTTTTTTTTTTTCTTTCATTTTGATCATCAGCATCATCGAAAAAAAAAGATTTTCCATTCCATTACCTATTTGTTGATGTAAAACAATGTTAAACATTGAAAACGAACAAATTCTTATGCATATCATCATCATCATCATCATCAAAAACATCATGACAGCAGCAGCAGTAGCAGCAGCAACAACAACAACAAAATCATCAACGTTATTATTCAAATCAAACGATAATCATCAATCAATTATTATTGATCAAACAAAATGCATACAATGTGTTCATCAACGGACAAAAACCTAACTTGAATAAACACAGAGACAGTTTTTGTTGTTGTTGTTGTCTTTTTCATTCACCATCATCAACGACAACAGAATCTAGCCAAAAAAAAAAAAAAAAATACACTGAATTCAATCATCATTGGATTTTAAAAAATTCAAAAAATTAAAAAAAAAACTTTTCATTTCCGTGTTTGTTCGTGTGTGTGTGTATAGTAATGCAGTAATCAAAAGTATTTTATTCTTTCTACATATCAAATTTGGCCCCAGATCAATGGCCAATAGAGGTAAATAAAAAATAGAAATATCGATCAACGCGATTGATCAATCGATTTTTTTCTTTTTTATTTTTCTATAATCTTTATGATGATTGACTGATTAATAATAATTTGATTTGATTATTATATAAAGATCAGTATGATGCAAATCACCATTATCAACAACAACAACAACAAAGATCTTGTAGAACGATTGATACTGGCAGCAGAAGCAACAACAACAACAACAGTAGAAGAAATCATAGCAGCAGCAACGGCGGCGGCATCAACAGTAATAGAAATAGCAACAGTTTCATTGGTAGTAGCATCAATATGATCAATAATAATAGACGTAGCAATAATAATAATAATCAGGATTCAAATAATCAATCAAATCATCATCATCATCATTATTATTATAATAATCAACATGAAAATAATACGGTATTTGGAAATGAAAGAGGTGGAATAACAACACCAACGCCATCAACAACAAGTTGGCGCCAATCACATAGTAGACGTAGAGATAATTTTACTAATGGTAATGGTGATCATAGTGGTGGTGGTGGTGGTGGTGCTGGTGGTGCTGGTTCTCGTGGTGGTAGTAATATCGGTAATCATAACAGTATTAATCAAAGTAGTAGCAATGATAATAGTAGTAGTAATCGTGCTGCAACACATCGGCGACAATTTGCACCAGATAATGATTGGTTTCGTGAATTACGTGAACAAGAAGAATTGGATCGCCGTTATTCGGAACGTCTTCGCCGCTATTATCAACGACAAAATGAACGTGTACAAATGAATGAACAATTAGAACGTTTACGACAACAGCAACCGAATCCAAATCAACCTGTATCATTTGAATTTTTTGAAGGTATGCGTCCATTTATGGATAATCATCATCATAATAATCGTCGTCAACCAAATAATAATAATAATAATAATGATGATCAAAATAATGAAAGACAAAATGATCCATCATCGTCATCATCATCATCAATGCGTAATGGTAATCGAAGATGGCGTTGAATCAAAAAAAAAAAAAGAAAGTTCCTTAACATGTGAGAGTGTGATATTCATCATCGTGGAAAATCATTTTACATTTCATTTACTATGGAGAAATCAAGAAGAAGAAGAAAAAAATTTAAAATCCAACAACAACCTCATTCATTATTCAATTGTTTTCATCGATAATTTTTTTTTGTCTCATTATCATTCATTCATTCATTCATTCAAGAGAATATATTCCAACATTTGTAATTTATTTACAGAAAAAGAATTACAACAATAACCTGAACTATCTCTATTTAGTTGTGAACACACACACACACTTTGAAATTCTTGATTCTTGAATTCATCTGTTAAATGTTCATTATTTATTTTTTTATTCTAAATAAAATAAACAAACAAACAAATTTGAAATAAGAAACCAAAAAGAAAATTCTACGATTCTGGTGTATGTTGAAAATGGGCGTCGAATCATCATACAGAATTTTTATTTTGGGCGCAGAATCCTAGCCATAGAGTGATCCAAACAAAATGATCCTATATCGTGGAACAGGAAAAAAATGTTTGTGTGTGTGTGTGGACATTTATTATATATAGACCCTATTTTATTTTTATTTTTTGGTGCCTAGAAGATGATTGGCCAATAACGGAAAAGAATCGATACTAAATCGAACCAACAATATGTGTCTGAGTGTGTGTGTGTGTGTGTGTGTGTGCATGTCTGGAATCGGTCAGAATTGATCAGAAAAAAAGTGTTGTCGCTAATGCTTTTAATCCAATCGTAGAGAAAAAAAAATAGAAAAGAATCGTCAACCATACATGAAAATGAAATCATCAAGGGAAAAAAACATCAAAATGTCAGCATATTCAATCAAATCACCAGAACAAAAAAAGTTGAAAAAAAAGCTAACTGATACACACAACACAATGATGATGATTGTTGTCCATCAAGGCGTGAATTGAAGTTTTTCATTTCAATTCAATTTTTTTTGAAATGAAATTTTTTAAACTACAGTTAAATTCAATTATTATTTTTGAAAAGAAAAGTTAAAATTTTCAAAAAAAACAAAAAAAAACAAATCAGAATCATCGAATCGAATGAATCGGATGAATGACAACAAATATTCAAGAATCGGACAGATTTTCCGTGTATTTGACATTACGCATGAATGTACATAATATATATGAACATATATATATTGCATACACGTACCGTTTATTTGTTGCACATATGGTGGCCAAAAAAAAAAAAAAAAAAAATGTTGAACTTTTCTGTGTTTGTGATTCATTTACTTTTTGTTGCTGCAGCAATAACAAAAAAAAACGTTTCCGCATTTAAAAATTTTCAAACAAAATTAAAAACGAAAAATTCAAATTTCAGGCACGCCATCTGTTTGTCAAGAAAGTTGTTGTTGTTTTTCTTGTCTTGAAATTGTCGTGGATTTATTTTTTTTTCAAGTGAATATTGTACTATTCTTCCAAGGTAACCATTGGTGATAAAATAAAACAAAACAAAAAACAAATAATAACCACACACAAACACCCACACACACAGGTGAACTAGAAATTATTATTATGTAACCATAAATTAACCAAACCACCACTGTGTGTATATTGTAATCATCATCATCATCATCATCATCATCAGGTACCGTTATACAATCACCAGGTGTACCTGTCAAAAAAATCACTGAAATTATCATTATGATGATGATTATCATCATTGATGGTGAATTTATTTGCGTGTGCGTGCACGTGTTCATTGTTTGTTTGTTTGTTTGTTTGGTTATATACACGAATAATGATGAATTTGACAAATACAACCAAAAAAAAAATCGATCCAAAAAAAAAGGTAAATCGAGACACGAGACCAATTAGCAATTGTAATAATAATTTTGTGTCTATGTGTGTTCACCACGTGTTCATCAGAAAAAAATATGAAAAAAGGAAAAAAAATTTTCTGTTGATACGCAACAGTGATTATCAAATGGTTATGGATCATTGTTGTTTTTCTAGTTTTTTTTTTTTAGTGGTTAAGGTCAAACAATTGTGACAATCATCATCATTTTTTTGTAGCAACAAAAAAAAGGTCATTTTATAATGATGAATCAATATTGGTCAAAACTAATGACCGCCATTATTATTTGGTTTTTATTTATCTATCTATCCATCTATCTATGATTGCCAAATGGTATACCAAATGTTCAACAACAACAACAAAAATTTGGTCATTACAAACTTAAATTTATGATGAATTCACTAGACATTGGATTATGATTAGTTTGCGTGACAAATATTTTTTTGATGTCCAGAATCAAATAAGATTAACCAGTGGTTATTTTTCCATCATCATCATCATAACAAGATTATGATAATTAATGATTCGTGTTTTCGGGTTAATGATGGTGATAATAACGATGGTGACCACCATCACTGGCCACATCAGCAGCAATACTAAACCAATCAACCAAACAATGCTACCAGAATTGATTATGAATGATCAAAAGTGAATAAATGAAATGAAAAAAAACATCATCACCATCATGGTTGATTCATTTATTTATTTAAATGAAAAGAAAAATGAACATTTGGAAGATGTGGAAACCAATAGATTTTTGGTCGATTAATTTTGCATATATAAATTCTATGAATGAATGAAACTAAAAAAAAAAAAAAAATAGAAATCCGGCTGATTTATAGACTTTGATAATCAATGATAATTTTCTTGTAGTCCATTAAATAATTTGGACTTTAATGTGTGTATAATATCATCATCATCATCATTATCAACTTAAAACCTCAGTGGAACAAAAAACGATAGTGATAATAATTAATGGCCAATGCCATTTAACAGTTGGATTTGTGGCCATTTTTTATTCTGTTTCTCCCCCCATTCTGATTTGATTCATTCGATTTATTGCTGTTGTTTTTTTTCTTGATTCCATTTTTATGTTCAATATTCACAACTAAACACAACAACATTTGTTGCCCCATAAAAAAAACAACAAACAAATTGACTTTTTGCCGCTGTTGTTGTTGTTGTTGTGTTGTTGCTAACATAACATTTATCCATTCATTTATTCTACACTGGTTGGTTGGTTGGTTGGTGTTGGAAACAAATAACAATGACAGGTGCTACTTTGTGATTATCATCATCATCATCATTCTGGTTATTACTGTTGTTGTTGTTGTTGTTTTTTTTCTCCCATTCTCTCGATCAGAATCAAATAAAAATGAAACACCAAGTTTTGCATGATTGCGTTTTTTAACGCCGACCACGTGTATGAAACCAGAGAAAGAAATATTAATCATATGTCAAACAACAACAGCAACAACAACAACAACCAGAACCAAAAGAATCAAAAAAAAAGAATTCATTTGGATATTCTCCAAATGAAATGATAATGATAATTTGAATACCTTTTGACAGTGATAATAAACCCGTGAAACAAAAAACAAAACAAAAAAAAAAAACAGTGGAAAATGGAAAAAAAGGGCAAAATCAATGGCTGAAAAGAAACCCATTCGATTCATTCATTCATTCATTCATTGAATTGAATTGAATGAATAAAATGTTCAATCAATCGAAACAAAAAATTTTTTTTTTTTTTTTGCTTGCTTGCTGAATATATTCAAAAATTGTATGGTTATAATGATGATGATGATGATAATGATCGGGGTGAATTAATATAATTTATCATTTGAATTTGAAATTTTTTTGCTTTTCGCTTTTCGCTTTTCATTTTCATCGAAACCAACCAAATGTTTCGTTTTTTATTTTATGCAACATAAATGAAACAACACAAGGTATCAACCTTTTTGGTGAAAAAAAAATTTGATTTTTGTCAATTTTGAAATTTATTCGATTTGATCATATAGTCGTTGTTGTTGATAAATAAAAGTTGCTGGCCATTTTTTTTTCGTTGTTGTTCATCGATGATTACCACTACTACTACGGTCCATATCACATATATTATCATCATATTCGTGGTTTGGCCAATTGTGCAATCATCAAACACATACACTATAGTATACTACTCATCACGCCTGAATAAATTTGATTAATTTACATTTTTTTTCATTCATTCATTCATTCAAACCAATAATAATAACAAAAGGTTCCAAAAATCGATCCAAAACCAATGGAAGAGAGAGAGAGAAAAATGTGATTTGAACATGTGGATAATGGGGACCGAGTTAGTTCGAAACAAAACAAAACAAAAAAAAAACGCATTTAAATTCAATACAAAAGAGACAAAGTGATTATCATGATCACGGTGATGATGATGATGATGATGACAAACCGAGCGATCAAAAAAAAACTTTTACTTTTTTCAAAAAAAAAAAATTTAAAAAGCCAACCAGAGAATGAAACAAATTTGATGATAATGGTGGTGTTGACGGTGGTGGTGGTGGTGGTGGTAATCGATAACCTGCTGCAATATTACACACATCTGTGTACTTTTTGTTTTTGTTTTTCACTATCGATGAAATAAAAAAAAACGCCATATGAATAATATGAAAATGATATTTATGTAATACGAATACTGATGATGATGATGAGGAGGAGGATGCTGAATAATTTCCATCACACACACACCATAATGACAGGTATAAAAACCTAACTATAACAATCAATCAAATCAATGAAATAAAGAATGAAAAAAAACAACAAACAGAATGTAATTTAAAAAATAAAAACAGACAACAACAACGACAAAAACATTCCTGGTGATGCTGATTTTCCAGAATCAAGAATTCTTTGAATTCTTATTATATTATCACCACGGTGACCATCAGTAGCAGACTTTTTTTTTTTAATTCTCCACAATCATATTCAATCAATTAGAAGCAGAAAAAAAAGAAAAAAATTGAAAATTAAATGAAAAAAAAATGTTGATGATGACGATGATGATTATTATTCAAAATCATTCATTCATTGTCTATATGTGACGATTTTAATTACATATTCTAATCACACACACAGAGAGAGATTTTGACCCTTGATCATAATGTCTATGCATGTGTGTAATTGTCATTCGCGTGCCACCATCATGATCGTCACGTAAAAAAAAAATATCGACAAGTTTCAAGTGTATACTTTGAAAGTTATCAACAACGACATAATTGTAACAGCAATATAATAATGAAAATGAATTAATGATGATAGAAACACCATAGTTAGCGATAATCATCGTCATCATCATCATTTGCTAAATTGAAACCGTGATTTTCATTCGCACACATGTCTGTGACATTTGTGTGATGGTGTGAGAAAAAAAAATCAAATCAACTCACAACAACAAGCATCGACACGATGACATTAAAAAACAACAACAACAACAAAAAAACTTGCCAATTTAGTGTTTTATGTGATTTTTTTTATCGTTTCTGCTGCTACTGTTTTTATTTTTTTTCTGGAACAATCAACAACCTCTATTGGTTATTGCATTTTGATTCACCTGTGTAGTAGAAGATGAAAAAAAAAATAGTAATTCACTGTGCCTTGTAATCATTGCTGATCATCCAATTTCAATGCAAATCATTATTTTTTTGGATGGAAAAAATAGTTTATTTTTAGTTCTCCAAATAGAAATAATTGACTTTTGTTGTTGTTGTTGTTGTTTGTTGTTGTTGTTGTTGTTGCAATTATCATTTTAACGGCGGAAAAAAAACGATATCATCAGCGTATTTAACTGATATTAATCATTGATATAATTAGCGTTTGAATTTTACGTTCAGGTTGACTTGGTTAATTGGGAAAAAATATATAAATCCATTCATATTTCACCATTGAAATGAAATGATGATGATGATGATAATAATCGACCATGATCCAATATACAACCTTTCCATCTACTCTGTACCGTTTTTTTCTTGGCTAATTTGTCTTTGTTTTCTGTTTGTTTAAATCAAATCATTAGTGAATACATAAATTTATTTCCGGAAAATTTTTTTTGATTTTTATCGCTGTTGTCGTTGTAAAACAACAACAACAACAACAACATCAACGATCAAACACAATGCTGTGAAAATATGAATGGAGAAAAAAATTGAACTAAATAAACAACAACAACAACAACAACAATGGAAAAAAATGTCATTCAAAAGGTGAAAATTTTTCTGTTCTAAAAATTCTCGTTCATTCATTCATTCATTCAATGTAAAAAGATGAAAGTTTTCTTCTGACCTGAACACCACATGATTGAAAATGACTAGATAGAAAAAAAAAATTAAACTCAGGTTCCACCACCACTATCACCACCATCATCAAAAATTCAAGATATTAAAGATCATGAACTCTGAAAAACAAACAAACAAACAAACACAGAGATTTTTTTCTCTTGTGAATGAGAATTTTTTTTGTTGTTGTTCAAACGAGTGGGGTGACCCAATAATGAAAAAAAAACATTCTCGTATTGAAAAGCCAAAAAATCGATTAATTTGAAATGGAAACAATGAAAAACTAGTGAAAGCGACAGCAAAAGATTAATTAAATCAATCTGAAGAAAAAAAAATTGAAAAGAATGCCTAAAGGAATGAAAAAAAAATTGATTGGATTGGATTTGATTTGATTTGATTGTTTTTTTTGTTTTGATCATAAGAATTGATCACACACACACACAAACACAATTGTTTTCATTTTTTTTTCATTCATCATTATTAATGATTCAAAAATGAAAAGAGAAAGTATTTTCGGTTCAATTGTGTTTTTTTGATTTCGAATTTTTGATCCAATTTTTTAGTTTTGTTTTTTTTTGAAGCAATCAATTGATTTTGATCCAGTTTTTTTTTGTTGTTGTTGTTTGTGCGATGATGGCTGGTATAAAAAAGGTGGCGATTGAAAAAGTTGAAAAATTGAGAATATATTGGCCAGTTGGAAGATATTTTTGGATACAATCACTTTTCTCTGATCAATCTTCGATATATGATGATGATGATGATCAAAATAGGTGTTTGTATTGATGACTACTACGATCTTTCTTTTTTTTTTTGCTATTCATAGATCATTCCATTGTTTATATGGAATGGAAAAAGAGATATATATCCATTGATTGTTTTCCAATTATTTGGTTCAATCATCGTCACCGGCAACGACAGCAAAAAAAAAAAAAAATAAAAAATAATCGGATAAAATAATTGAATGACAATGATGACGAACGGTTATTCATCGTTTTGTTCACGGTTCAATCACACAATTGCTTGACCATTATATGTGTGTGTGTGTGTGTTCAATAAGTTTATTATTGATTGACCAAATTTTGTTTTTTCTCTTTAGATATGAGCAAAAAAAAAAAAAAGAAACTGGTTATCACAGAACCAAGAAAAAGTAGTTTAAATTTTTCTTTTGTTTAGTTTGTTTCTACAGACAAAAAAAATGACAATGACGACAATAGTGATGACATTAATCATTCCCGTTTCTTTCTATGTTTTTTTTTAAATTTTCACTCCAAATTGACATAGTATATGGTCCGACTCTTTTATAAATGGGGATGAAATAAAAAAAAACGGGTTGAGTAAGAAAAAAAAGTGTGAGAGAAATCACAACGAAATGGAAAAGAAATCACTAAGTTCATTGAGATTTTTTTTTTTTTTTTTGATTGGTGAAAATGAAAAGAGAATATCGTTCATTTTCGGGTAGGAAAAAAAAGAGTCTGTATTGTCATCAATGATGATTGTTTTTTTTGACAATTTTTTTTTGTTGAAAATTGAACCAGTTTCACATCAGAACATCAGACACACACACACAGAAACTCATTCTCATTAGTCAATGTGTATTCGATATGTATTGATTATCGAATTTGACAACAACAAAATTTGTTTGTGTGTGCGTATGTGTGTGTATTTTTAAAAATTTTCTAATCAAATTAGTGAATTGTAGTTTTTTTTTGTCTGAAATATTCATCAACGAATTTTGTTTATTTTTTTTTTTTTTTTTTTTACATCACCAATTTTCAATTTCAAAAATCATCATGTACATCATTATTGTTGATGGCCAAAATTTTTTAAAATTTTTTTTATTGGCCACATTAATTTTCAATAATAATATCTATTTACATTCAGCATCACGAATACGTAATAATTATCGTAGTGGAATTGTTGGTGGTAGTGGTGTTGGTGGTGGTGGTCTATATCGACGTAATTTTCAATTGGATAAATTTCAACTTGATCCAAATTTTTCGCTTACATCACCCGGTTATGAAACATCATCATCATCATCATCATCATTAGCATTATCATATCCGAATAGTCAATTTTATTCGGAATTTTTACCAGATAATCGTAATCTGTTAACAATGTTATCGAATCCATTAACATCACCGATGATGAGTCAAAATCATCGATATATGATTAAAACACCGGAACGTGATTTACATTATGCAACAATATTGAAACAACAGGAACAGGCAACAATTAGGCATCCATTTCAAGCATTTCAAGTAGCTAAAGATCAAGCACATATGCGTGGACATATGTTACGTAGTAGTTTACAAACATCGGATGATGATGTTTATGAAGTAGAATCAGCACCGGTAATGAAAGCAACATCACCATATCAATTTTCACCATTTAATACACAATTTAATAATTATCGTTCATCACCAGCGTCATCAATGACAAATCGTTATCGTTTGCCATCATCATATCATCATATTAATAGTCATCATTCATTTAATCATCATCCATTATCACAACCACAACATTTTTTCAACCACAAGAATCATCACAAACACCGATCGAATTACCATCAATATCAATGAGTTTTGATCCAACTCCATATCATAACAATCATCATCATCATCAACAACAACAACAACAACAACATCCACATCAACAATTACCGATTGAAGCATATACAACAACGTCGGCAGCAACAATGTTTAATACACAGCCACAAATATTACAAAGACGATGGCCACAGAAACGTTTTTCAAATTGGGTTGATTTCAATCATGAAAATGGTAAAGAATCACGTTCAAAAGAATTGACAACATCTATAAGAGTTGCACCTGCTGTTGATCATTCATATCAATATCAAAATAATTATCATTATCAACAACAACAACAACAAAATTATCAATATGAAATGGAGCCGGAAACAAAGAATTTATTCATGACAATCGGTATTGATCAAGGCAATGTTGATGGTGGTAGCGGTGGTGGTGGTTCAAATGATTATCAAGATTCATTTGAAACAAGTGCAAGTCAACAGCAGCAAAAAATTTATAACACGCAATCAGATAATCAAAAAAATAATCAATCTAAATCAATTTTGGCTACAGCAGCAACAACACCAGCTGCTAATCATCAACATCAACAACAACGACAACAACAGAAACGAACAAAAATCATCATCATGAAGAACAGAAACAGGACAACAATGTTGATCCAACATCATCATGGTTAGATATGGGCGCATATTCAGCAACAAAAGGTGAATTTGGTTGGTTTACCGATACGCCGGTTATTGTTGGTAGTAGTCATCAGAATCAGCCAGTATCATTATTATCAACGGAAACAAAATATTTAATAAAAAATGAATAAAAAACAAAAACCAAAACCAAAAAAAAAAGATAAATTAATCACAGATATATTCAGATCAATAAATAAATGATGATTCTTTTTCAAAATTTATTCATTAATGTCCAATGTCCAATGGACAATTTAACATTTGTGTGCCTGTGTGTGTGTGTTGTGTGTCAGATCCTGGAACATTAAAAGTAAATTTATTTTCATTCTGCATTCTGCTTCTGTTTTGATTTGAATTTAAATCACCATCACATGAAATTAAAATAAACAAACAGCAAAAAAAAATTTGAAAGTCAAATTGGTCAATTTTCTACATAAATATAGTTTGGGACCTGCCAATTTTTTTTCCAGTCTCTCGAGTATATATATTAGCAGTAGTTTAATATGGTCTGAAATCCGTATCTGTGTGTGTGTGTGTGTATAAGTGGAGGTCATTCTCGGACTAAATTATACAGGCGAAAAAAAAGATCAATCTTTGCCCATTTTAAAGAGAGATAGAGAGAGATAATGTTGACATTTTATTCTGTGCAATATTGTTGTTGATGGTGATGAAACCCGAATATAACAGCAACACTGTTTAACTGGATTATAAATAGAATAGATAGATTCAGATTCATTTAATGAATCACGGACAAAAATTTTTCAGAAAAATAAACTATCATTTTTTTTGTTTTGTTTAAACAATTTTTTTTTTTTTTTTTTTGGTCACAACTTGTTCCATTCCGGTCATAGACGCAGGTGTATCTAATTCCACGCACACTGACACACACACACACACATAGATATACGGTGTCAACATCCCCGTGTGTGTGTGTGTGAATGATTGAGTGTCAATTTTGTCCCTGGATAGAAATACCATACATGTGATGAAATTGATCCCTGGAACGAAAAAATTATTGTCTATTTTCGATTCAAGATAATGAAAATGAAAATTGATGATGACATTTGTACTACTACTAGTGAACAACAACAAAACATTGAGGCAATGTAAATGTAATGGGCAATTGATATTGTGGGTGATGAAAAATAACCGATTCTTTTTCAAGTTTTTCTCTCTCTCTCGTTTTTTGAATGAAAACTTTTTTTTCCAAAATAGAAAAACCACCACCACCACCACCACTATATGATTTTATGGCCTTAAGGGTTGCGGATAAATTGGAATAATTTGTTTAAAAAAAACGAAACACATGTACACACACAAAAGATGTTTCTTTATATAAACCATTTACACGCGTGTATCTAATTTACATTAGAATATTCTTTTCGTGTATGAAAACAAGATTATTGCTGTTAATGGATTCTCATATTATATAATGAACATAATGTTGTTGTTGTTGTTGTTGTTGTTTTTTTTGTAATTTATTATGGTTAAATTCGAGAAAAAAAATATGAAATCCAGACCAGAAATAATAACCCGTCCATATATTGTATTCGAACATTAGACCAATTTTTGTTGATTTTGATTGACATGTATGTGTGTGTGTGATGTTTTTTATTTTGTTTATTTATCCTGATGATGATGATGATGATATAATGGGGTAGGTAAAAAAACAAACTAGGCTGCTTCAGGGTGATTTTTCCATTCAATTTGCTGATCATTTCACGTACACACACCACCAGTCGGGATATGATTATGATTGACAGTTGGACGAGAGAGAGTGAAAAAAAATTTGTTTTTTTTGTCTAATTTTCAATCTAAATGATAATGAAGATTATTGTTATTGCCACTAAAAAATAAGGGTTAAAATCGTTGGTACAACAACAACCAAAAAAAAAACGTTTGAAATGGCCAAATTCCAAAATTCGATTTTGTTTAGAATTTTTTCATTAGAAAATTCAATCATTACAATTCGATCGATTTTTGAATCATAATAATGGCTGCCAATTCTATATAAAAATCCCTAACCATTTCATGGTTTAGAATCACTAATTTTTTGATTTTGTGTATTTTTTTGTTGTTGTTTCGTTTATTTCGCCTGTTTTTCAATCGACCAACCCCAAGAGTAAAGTAAAAAAGTTTCTATTTGATATTTTATTTTGAATTTTGTTTTTGTCACAAGAAAAAAAAGTGTGTGAAAATGTCTGAACAAAGTTCAAGTGTTTCGAATAAAAAAGAAGAAGCAGCTGATGATAATGCAGAAAAATCTCAAACTGCACAAAAATCCGGTGTTGAAACATCGGAAAAAAAAGATGCAGAAAAATCCGTTACTGGTGAAAAATCAACAACGGAAAAACCTGCAGAACAAAATGGTGAAAAAGAAAGTCCATCGTTGGAACAACAACAGCCATCAGCCGATAAAGATGAACAGCAACAAGGTGTTGAGGGTAAAAGTTCAAAAAAATCTTTGGAATCGGAAAGTCAAAAAGATGTAAATGATGAAGCGGATGAAGCCGAAGGAGGAGCTGATGAACAAGAGGCCGCCGGTGGTAAACAAGACAAATCAACACAAAAGGAGAAAAAAACTTCTGGATCAAGTCAAGGTTCAAAACCAGGATCAGGAGCTAAACGTCGTAAAGGTGAAAAAGTTACCAAACAAAATTGTCGTATCGGTTTCATTGGTGCCGGTAAAATGACCGAAATGATTGTGAAAGGTTTAATTGAGCATTGTAAGTTGGTGGTGAAATATTTCAATCATTCAAATTTAAATTTAATTAATTTTTTTCCCATTTTAAAAAATATCAGCCAGTGTACCGGCTAAACAAATTTATATTGCATCAAAAACTGGTAAAAATCATGATCATTTTAAACAGCTTGGCTGTACGGTCACTAAACGTAATTATGATATATTTGGCAAAATGGATTGTGATGTTGTATTTCTTTGCATTCATGGTAATGCAATTCGTCAATGTTATGCACATGGTGGCCTAAGACCAATGGCATTGACAACGAATTTCATTCCAAATCAACGACATCCACTTTATATATTATCATTGATTGGTGGTGTTACATTGAATGATATTAAGAAAACATTGTTGAATCCTGACCATCCGGATAAATATCAGCTTGAAATGCATCGTATTATGTTGAATCATTCAGTTGGCTATGGACAAGGTTATGGATCATTAGATGTTGATTTAGATTCAAAATATTGTGCACAAATTATTCGTGAATTATTAACACCGATAGCAAGATTTGATTTTACACCAGAAAATCAAATGGACATTGCTTGTGCATTGGCTGGCTGTGGTTCGGCATTTTGTTATTATTTCCTTACGGCAATATCGGATGGTGCATTTAAAAAAGGATTGAACAAATTGAAAGCAACAAAAATAGCTGCCGATGCATTACGATCAGCATCAGTATCATTGTTGGTATCTGGTAAAAATCCAAGCGATTTACGTGATACATTTGCATCGCCAAGTGGACCAGCCATATATGGTATACATGTATTGGATAAAGATGATTTTCCATCAGGCATATCATCCGCTGTTGAAGCTGCATATAAACGTATTAAAGAATTGACTGATAATCCATCATCATAAAGTAGAGAAAAAGAGAATGATGAAGAAGAGAGGGAAGTGGTGGGTGTTGTCTAGGGGGAAGAAGCAGCAAACAGCAGCATATTTGAAAAATTTTCTAGTTTTTTTTTCTTTGATCTGAATGAAATTCATAATTAAATCTGATGAATTTTTTTTGTTGAAAATTTCATTTTTTTTTTTTGAAAAAAAATTCATTGTTGGTAATATGATGTGGATTTGCGAACAAAAAATTGATTGCTTTCATTCGAAAATTGGCATTTTCAATTGACAAAAAAAAAAAAAAATTAAATCCAAAAAAATGGATCAAATGGAAAAACTCGCCAGGAATTCTCAACGAAAAAAAACGCTCTGTTGTTGTGTGTGTGCAATAATGGAAAACTAGGATTCGAGAACAATCAAACAAATGCGAAAAAAATGGAACACACACAATTTTTTCCATTTGCAGATCAATAAATGAAAAAAAAAATAAATTTTTTAAAAAATCAAAAAAAAAAAAATTCAATAAATTTTGATTGAAAATATTCAATTCACACAACAAACAAATCAAATCATCAATATGTGCCAATATTGTGGAAAAAAAAACATCCAAAATCCCTGAATTTATCACCATTCAGTTGATAGGTTTCTCCATATTCAACTTTTTTTTCCTGTTTTGTTTTCCGATATGTTTTCCGATATCCATACATTTATGGATGATTCATTTGTTGTTGTTGTTGTTGTTGTTGTTGTTAATAACTAAAAAACATGTTTTTCCATTCTAGTTTTCAGTTATTATTGTCACAATGAATATTCTAGACGAGAAAATGAAAGAAAATTCAATCGTTTTTCCTATTTTGCATACACACGAATCATTCATTTAGGATGCAAACAACACAACAGCAACAATTGAAAAAAAAACAAACATGAGGACAGATGTATGCATGGTGACGATTCCAAATGGAGAAGAAACAAAACAAAAAAAATGAAAGAATCCAAAGGGATAGTCATTCGACGATGATGATGATGCTCCATGTTGATGATTTGCATATAAAAACAATTAATAATAATGTTAGAAATATGTAAAAAAAACGAAATATGAAATGAATAAATGAATCGAATCTATTTGAATAAATTTTTGTTTTATTTTTGTTTTTGTTTTTGTGTTTGAATCATGCTGCAATCCTTTCTCCATCTCTTTTTAGATCATGACATCTGCATGCATGTTCACTACTCACAATTTTTCATTTATTTTTATGGACAAAAAAAATGATGATAATAATTATTATTGCTATTTGTTTATATTTGTTTGGTTGTATCCAAAATGTTTGAATTCTTCATCAAAATCAATGCATTCATGTGGCCCCTACACACACACACACACACACATGTTCCACAATAATAATTATTCTTTGGTTCCAGAAATTCATTTGCCTACTACTACAATCACCCACCATCACATGATGATACGATGATTAATGATGATAACGACGATCTATGGGACCGATTTGTAATATATTTACCATTATCAAACATTACAAACAATGTGTAATTTGTCATCATAGTCGTTTACTTATTCACATTGTATTAGTAATTCATGTTTTTGCGGTAGTAGTGGCGGAATATAAAAGGATTCCCCTCTTCACAATTATCGATTAGTAGTAGGAATTTTTTTTGTTGAAACAATCATTGATCGATCCAAACAAAAGGGTTATTTTGATGATGATGAAAATGGGCCACCTGGACTTTTTTGTTGTTGTTGTTTTGTTCATCGGATCGATCCATCGATTGATCGACGATGGATGATCACTTGAAAAATATTACCATTTCTCATTTTAGCGATTGTCGTTGTTGTTGTCCACTCGTCATTTTTCAAAAAAAAGCGGAAAAAATCTTTTTGAATTTTTTTTTTGATCCATTTCAAATTCCAAAAAAAAATCGCAATAATAATTCGATACAGATATGATCTCTTGTTTTGTCTTTCAAAAGTAGTAGCAATGGCAACAGTAATAAACATTTTAAAGTGGCCTTCATTTTCATTTCAACAAAAAAAAAAAAAAAAAAAACATTTGCGTGTCCAATTTGGCCCAATAATGATAAAAATAGACAGATTGAATTGACAGTCGTTCACATTTTTGTCTTGTTTTTGTTTTTGGCCAACAAAAAATGAAAATGAAAATGAAACCAAATCCAAAGTCAATGAAAAACAATGATGATATGAGTGGAATTTTCTACTTTGCTCTCACTCTTTGCTCAAAAAAATGGTCATCGATTTGCACATCTTTTAGTGTGTGAGTCTTTAATAATAATTTCACTTTCATTACACACACACACACGCACATTTCACACAAAGTTTGCCTTAAATACATGGAGATGGATAGATAGTGAATACTAATAAAACTCAAACTTGAACTAAATGAATCAAATGATGATGAACATCAAACACACACACACACACACACACACAATGGATAATAAGCTTTATACATATATATGAACGATATATATCGGATAAAATGAAAATGATACATTAGAATGATGACTATGATGATGATGATGGCCATATTGTTTCCAAATGAATGAATGAATGAATGAAGCTTAAATCAAATACAAAAGGCACACATACACACACACACACACAAAAACACAGAGGCTTTTTTTTGTTGTTGATCACAAATGTCCGGTACAAGTTTGTTGTTGTCGTTGGTCAACAAACAGACAAACAGAGAAAAAAAATTTATTATTATCGAGGGATCATCATCATCATCATCATCATCAACAACAATGTCCATTTTGATATTTGTAAAAATCGTATTTTATTTTTCTCTGAAATACAATTTTCAGTTTACATTCAAGTTCAATTGGTTGATGGGTGAAAATCCGATTTCACAAAAAAAAAAAATTTTGAAATGAAATGGACAAAAAAAAAGCTTATTAATGGATCACGAATGAAAAGTGAATATTATTTTTGGCTGCCAAAGTATTTATTTACTTTTAGTATTTTCATGATGATGGTGATTAAAAAAATTTTTTTTTCAATTTTTTCGTGAAAAAAAAATTTTTTTTATTTTCAATAAAAAGCTAAAAAAAACTGTCATCAACATTCAGACACAAAAAATCGAGCAAAGATGATCATCGGTTGTTTGTCTGTCTGTTTGCTCTCTTCATCATCATTATCTACCGTTTTTTTTTTGTTCGTTTGTTTGTTTGTTTGACATTTTTTCATTCCAATTGTTTCATACTACAGATGTCACAACCATCGTGTATACAAACGATGATGATGATGATGATGATTTTTTTTTCGACAATAAATTGCCAATTAGTAGTGGAAATTTCAGAGAAAAAAAGACTTAGATCATCATCATCATGTCTTAGCGAAAGACGAAAAATTTTTCCAATTAATGACTTGAATGTAGAGCTTCAATGTTTATGACACATACATGTCACATACACATACACGGAATTATTGCAAAATTGAAATTAAATGACCAAAAAAAAAATGTTTGATCATTTTCCACTTTCAAAAAAAAAAAAAAAAAATCAATCAAATTATGATCATCATTGGTTATTATTATTATTATTGTCTCAAGACACATCAAATGATGATGGCGATGGCGAAATACCCGGAAATTCAATAGAAACGAATTTGACGATTCAATGGACGACCATTATTATCATCATTATTTTCTACTGGCAACAAACAATAATTCATTCGGATCAAATTACAAAAATCAAATGATCAACAATGTTGTCATCATCATCATCATCATCATCACACAGATGGCTTTTTTCCAAAGTCATCATCACATATTTATAATCGTTTTAATTTCCATTTCTATGACTGATTGATTTAAAAATAGAAAAAAAAATCATTGACAATCATTTGTTTGATACTAATTCATCAACATTCATTACTTCCGTATTTTTTGTTCATTTTTTTCTTGAAAAAAATTGATTTGAAATAGATTTTTGATTTGCAAAAAATTTGTCCATCATTTATTTGTCAATGTCGAAATGAAAATTTTTAAAAATTTTCAAAATTTGTGAAAAAAAATGATGATTGGCCACAGAAAAGAAAAAAAAATGTCGTAATCGATGATGACGATGATGATGATGATCAATTAGGAAGTAACCATTTGGAAATAAAGCAAAGAAAAAGTGTGTGTGTGTGTGTGTGTGTGAAAAATGAAATTCAAGTGGTTTTTTCTTTTCCTTCGTTATTCAATTGTTATCAATCTTTATTTGGTCATTTGAAATTTTCCAAACAAACAAACAAACAAAAAAAAAATGATGCAAATATGGTGGTCCTTGGGAAAAAAAAGAAACGATGCAAATTTTGTTGCGTAGAGAAATTTCATCAGAAAAATCTGCGTGTTAAAAACAAATTTTACTCTTTTTTTTTGTTTTCATTCGGACAGGTTGTTTTTCACCAAAAAAAAACAATCCAATTCATTTCAAACAAACAAACATAGTGTGTGTGTGCATATGTTTCTTAAAAATATTCTTCATCACCATCATACTACAAGCTGATGCTTCTGCTGCTGCTGCTGCCCTCTTCAAAGAATTAATTTTTTTTTTCATTTCAAGAATAAATCGTTAAACATGGCAAAAGTGAAATGAATCAAACAAAATGATGATGATCAGATTTATAAATATACAACAACCACTATGCTGTACTGCTGCTGTGGCTGCTGCTGCTGCTGCTGCCATACACACCCAAAAACAGAAAATCTGGCCAAAGAAAATGTTTTTAGTTTTTTTTTTTTTTTTTTTTTTTCTTGAAAAAAATGAAGACATCCATCTATGATGATCTGGATTAGTTTTGTGTACAAGTGAATTCGGTATTGAAAAAAAAGAAGTGGTAAACATTTTTGTTGTTGTTGTTGTTGTTGATGTTTTGATGTTTTGATGTTATCCATATCAAAATGAATGAAATTTTTTTTTTTTTTTTTTTTACCGGCATTGTTTGCGTTATGTGAACGCAATTTTTGATTCATGTCTTTTTTTTTTTCTTACACAACTTTTCTGATTGATAAAATTAGTTTTTTTTTTCATGTTTTGTTTGTTTGCTCTTATCATTGAAAATACGACTGAACGATTGATTATCAATTTGCTACAGTTTTTTTTTTCTTCTGGTTATTACTCGGTTATTTTTTTTTTTTTTTTTGATGATTTTCATTCAAATGTTTACCATTGATTATCATCACATAAAATCCATTGATTATCATTCAAAACAGAAAAAAACGTTTTTTCTGAAATTTCAACATAAGTGCACGTACATCAGTGAATGTCATTTGAAAGTGTGAAGAAAAAACAGCACAAAATGAAAACTTTTTTACTCGAATAAAAAAATTCACCAAGAATCTTGAAAATCATCAAATTTTTTTTTGCAGACGTGATTCCTATGAAGTGTTGTTGTTGTTGTTTTGACTAGAATTCAAAAACAGAAAAAAAACGTTTTTTTTCTGAAATTTCAACAAAAAACACGGTAAGTGCACGTACACACACACACACAATTTTCTTTTGATTTCTCATAGAGCCAAGTTTTTTTTTCATTCGACAACGAAAAATACAAAATTAATCCATCATCAACGAACTAGCGAAAGATTCATTCATTTATCCACTTTACACACACACACACATTTTTATTCGACACTTGACTATCGCACTTACACACAAAACATTTATCATATGATGATGATGATGAGAAAATATGATTTTCGCCTCTTCATCATCATCATCATCATCAGTTGTAAAAATGAATTAAATCACTCTCTCTCCTCTCGCTCTCAAAAAAAACGAAATTTCTTAATTAATCGAATTAATGAAAAAGTAAATTAAATTTAAAAAAAAAAAAATTCTTAATTCAAAATTTGACATGCCACTGTTACTGTTACTGTGTGTTGCTGTGTTTTGGATTTATATGAATTTTCAATGAAATTTTCCATAGACACTGACACAAGACAACAACAGCAACAACAATAATAATCATGATGATGATGCAAAGAATTTTTTATTTTCATTTTCATTTTTGTGTGTTAATTACGTTAGTTATTTTTTTTTTTGCCGTGGAAACCAAATCCAAACCCCCCCTCACCCAAAGAAAAAAAACATATTCTTAGTGCCTCTTTGGTCTCACACACACACACACACACACAATATGTGACAGTCAAAGCTAAAATCACAAATAGACAAATGACAAAATGATGGATATGGTCCGTGGTTATAAATCTCTTAGATTAATGCAATTTTCGTAACCGCCACCATCACCACCACCATTATCACCACCCAGGAGATTGTGAAAAGAAAAAAAAATGTAAAGAACGGGTTGATTTAGGTTAGTTTAAAAACACGAAACACAAAACCTTTATTTCATTTCAATATGTTGAATTTATTTGAAAATTTTGTTCTCAAATAACGTTTTTTTCAAATTCATTTTTTTCTGATTTTGATTGAAATCAAAATTTTACTTAATTAGTCAGATCCATCAAAAATATGAATGAATGAATGAATGAATGAACGAATGAAATAATTTGCTTTGCTTTACATTTTCAATCAAATATGGATTCAAATTTGATATGTAATCGCATTCTGTCTGTCTGTGTCTCTGTGTATATTCTGTGTAATTTCGTTATTCGTTATGTTGTGTGTTTTAAACAAAAAAAAAATTACAGAATCCATATGACACACACACACACACACAACATGACTCCATTCATTAATGTACAATTATACCGTAATTAACAATGAAAAAACAACCACACGAGAGAGAGAGTTAGTATTTAGTTAGAGTTGATTTTGGAAAAACCAAAACCAAAAAAAGAAAAAGAAAAAAAAACTTATTTGTTCTGCGTTCGATAATTTCACCACTTTTCACTTGAATGAATGCTTTTTTTTTCTTCGTATCCGGATTCATTCAGTGTTGTTGTTGTTGTTGTTGTTGTTCGATCCCCGACCGGTCGGGATAGATTTTTTTCTCTCTCTCTCTCTCTGGTTTCGTTTGTATGATGTTTTTTTTTCTCCAAAAGAAAAAAACAAATGTCAGTATACCGTGCCGCATCTGGTCCGATTCAATGATGCGAAATCTTTTTTTTTTTTTATTTTGCATACAAATGTGGTTTTTCGGTATTCGGTTGCTTTGGAAAAATTTTTTTTTCTTGTAATACAACCATTCCTGGGTTCATTATTATATGAAATGCTTTTCTTCATTTCTGATTAATTAATGCAAATATGAAATGCTATAGTAGTAGTAGTCGTTGTTATCTGAGATCCGATACCCGGATCATTGTTACCACTATCATCATCATCATCATCGTCGTCGTCGTCGTCGTCGGATACCGGGGATTCCAAATTTCAAATTCAAATTCAAACAGAAAAAAAAATTCTATAATTAGAATTTCTTTTGTTTATTTTTTCAGTTTATTCGGCTTGAATCTTTCTGGTTTTAATTAGATAAGATATTCATGCATTCAAACAAAACAAAAAACGATTTTACATCCAAAATTTTCTTTCAAACTTTTTAATTAATTATTATTATCTCTTTTTGTTATTCAATCAAAAAAAAAAATTCACATGAATGATGAATCAACCATGTGATATTTTTTTTTTTTACATATGAAAAACAAAAACATACGTTATATGTGTGTGTGTGTTGGCAATGTTTATTTTAGATTATGAATTTTTTTTTCTTTCTTTGGTTTTCCAAATAAAAAAAAAATTTTACATTTGTCACATTTTTTTTAATTAGTCTCAATGATAGATAGATAAATAGATGGAGAGCAAGAGAGAAAGGGGATAAATTCATGATTCTTGTAATTTTTTTTTTTTTTTTGCATGTACACAATGAATGAACCAACACAGCTGCAGTAGAAATGTAAACAAAACAAAAACAAAAAAAAGAATTTGAGAATAAACAATCGATACCATTACCCCAAACAGACAAGATTTGGGAATCAGAATCGAAATTCTCGAGTTTTTTTTTGCTCATTCATTTATTCTGCCTAGTTGATTCTGAAACAACAAAGATGAATTACTTGTCTCGTTCACCTAACCGCATACATAATCAGATGTGTCGAGATTTTTTTAATTTTTTTTTTCGTTGGTTCGAGTATCACTAATTCCCGACCATAGTCATTCTGTTATTTTGTTGTTGTTGTTGTTGTTGTTTTTGCTACGGTTAGCCACACTTATTATCATACGGGAATTCATTCACAAACCGACAAACACGCAAACACACACGTACTCCGGATATCAGGAAAAAAAATCCCAACCATCAGAAAATAGGATTCAACGGGTAATCTTCTTACCGAACGGGTTACATACATACATACATGTCACAATCATAGTTAATCATTATCATCATTTCCTGACATCCAAACGGGTTTTTTTAATATAATTTCATTCGGTATACCCTAGGGATGTGTGTATGTGTTTGTGTTTATTTTGCTTTTTTTTACTCTTTTTTTTTAGTAATCAAAGAGTTTCATCATTTTCCCCTATGTTTTAGGTGAAATCCGAATTTAGACAAGAAAAAAAAATCAAAACATGGCTGCTGTATCACCAACACTGTTGGCCGTATTAACCATTGGTGTTGTTGCATTAATTCTGGGCATTTTTATTGGTAAGTTGTTGTTGTTTCGTATGACTAAAAGTGTGATCGAGATTAATTACCATCATCATCATCATCACTAACCACCCACCCACACTATGTCCATAAATGATGAAAACTTTATTTTTTGAATAACAAAAAAAGGAAAAAAAATCCAATTCAAAAAACCAACTAATTATGATGAATAATATGACCATTGCATTAGGAATATCCAATTGCAAAAACATATCCAGAATAATGAGTAAAGATTAATGATTCTTTCATTGAACAAAAAAAAACTGGTGAGAGAGACAAGTTTATTTTTTTGTGACCATTGGTTAATGATGATGATAATGTTAATGATTAGTGCTTAATTAGCAGATAGAGACTGTAAAAAAATTCGCTTGTTAAATATAAATGAATGGATGAATGATTATCATCTCTCTCTCTCTCTCTGGTTGTCGACCATTTATTTTTTTTTTTTTCACTGAAAAAAATTGGCCACCATTATTAATGATCTTTCAACTAATCAGTGGCAGTGGAAAATTATTATTAATAATTTTTTGTTAATTATTTTCGTCATAGCCGTTGTTGTTGTTGTTGTTGTTGGTGGTGTTTTTTTTTAGATTAAGTCGTTAGATTTTTCAAGTTTCAACAACAAAAAATTTTCACATTTATCATTTCATTTCACCAGGAATGTATACAATACCACCGACAATGACACCGGAAAATGCAGCAATTGTTAATGAATATAAACGTTTAATCAAAAATTATTATGATGGACAAAATGATGATGATCCTGTTTATCGGGCATTGATACAAGGACCAGATCCAGATAGTATTCGAAAAAATATTCAGTATGTATTATTTATCGATAATTTTTTAATCAATCAATTGGTTGATTGATTCCAAAATACCAAATCAAAATAGATTATTATCAATAAAACCACATCAAGCCGGTACAAAACGTGATGAAGAATTGGCACAATTCTATAAGAATACATTTCGTGATGCTGGACTGGATCGTTTTCATTTGATTCCATATAAAGTTTTACTTTCATATACAAATCCTGATCGTCCGAATAGAATTTATTTGAATGATAAATCCACAAATGCTGTTTATGTTATCGATAATCAAGAACCACCATTAAGACCGGATGAAAGTATAATAATACCATCATATAATGGTTGGTCACCAAGTGGTGATATTATTGCCGAACCTGTTTATTGTAATTATGGTTTGATCGATGATTTCATTCAATTGGATAATTTTCGTATTGATGTTAATGGAAAAATCTGCATCATACGTTATGGCCGTACATTTCGTGGCAATAAAGTTGCAAATGCTGAACGTTTTGGCTGTGCAGCGGTGATACTTTTTTCCGATCCAGAATCAATATCATCATCAAATAATAATGAACCTGAATCATTATATCCAAATTCAATATGGTTAAATGGTAAAGCAATGCAAAGTGGTAGTATACGTTTAAACGATGTAAGTGTTGATCAATTGTATTTGTATTTGATCGATTTCAATTTCTATTTGTATATTAAATCCTTTCATTCATCCATTCGATAGGGTGATCCGTTAACACCGGGATTTCCATCCATTATTGGTAATGATTGAAAATTTTTTTTTTCTGTTGAAAAAAAATTTGATTTATCTTTTTTTTCGTATCACGTTTTTTTTCTCTCATTCTCTATCTCTAGACGGATTTCGTGAAGATCATAATGATAATGAACGTGTACATCTGCCCGGTATACCGGCACAACCAATTGGCTATGATGATGTACAAATGATATTTTCGTAAGTTTTTTTTTTTTTTTTTGAAAAAAATTTTCATAAAAACATTGATCTAATCGATTGTAATCACAATAATAAGCGTGTGTTTTTGAATGTTTCAAAAAAAAAAAAAAAAATTCAAAGTAACGAAAGAGGTCAATCGTGTCACATTGATTATATTTTGGTAACCAAAACAATGTCCATTGAAAACAAAACAAAACGACAACGACAAGATAAATCACTGATTTCTCCGTATCTTTTTTTTCTCATTTTACAACAACAATCAATGTTTCGAATGATAATGATGATGACATTTATTATCAATTTACAACGACAACAGCAACAACAACAACAACAACAATAACGATAATCAGCATCTGAATCTCAGATAATTTGACAATTTTCAATTTGATTTTTCATTCTTTTATTGAAAAACACTTTTTACAGAAAAAAATACGATTTGTTGTTGTTGTTGTTCAATGTTTGTCTGTGTGTGCAATAGAATCAGAAATCTGTGATTCTATCCACTATACACACACACACACACACACTTGGATATGAGAGACGGTGTAATAATTTTATTTTTCTCATCATGGTCGTCATGGATGACCATTGGTCATCATCATCATCAACATATTACAGGATGAACGTGTGTGCGTATGTGTGGTGTCTTTGAAAATTTTTTTTTCTTGCTTCTTAAATGAAGAAAAAAAAGCTCAAGAGAGAGAGAGAGAGTCACGTGTTATTGTTGTTCATCATAATGTCCGATCCATGTATAGTTACATAGTGTCCATTTGATATAAATGTGTGTGTGTATGTCCATTATAATAACCATATGACCTTTGTACTGTCCATTTGAGGACGATTTTTGTTGTTGTTGTTGTTGAAAAACGATGGGTAGTGATGGTGGGCAATTAGTTGCGCCTAATAAATCTCATTGTATTCATTCATTTGATCAATCGATTCATAGATCACTGTATGTGTGTGTGTGTCATTGACAATGTTGTTGTTGTTGTTGTTGTTGTCGGGCAACGTATTCATAATCATCATCATCATCATGATGATCGAACGGTTGCCACTTGAAGAATACAAGAATTCAATACATCCGACATACACCCACACACACACACACACACACACACAGCAGAACATTTATTTTCATTATCATCTTTCTTTGGTTAGTTTTTAATAAATAAATAATAATCACAGACACACACACACACACACACACACCAAGAGAAAGAATAAATTATTACCTTTCATTATCATCAGCATCATCGAGTACAATGATTTTTTTTTTTGAATTGAATTGAATCGATTGTAAGAGAACACGCGCCGATGCATAGAATTTTATCAAAAATTTTTTTTTTCGTAGCGGATACATAAATAGTCTCGTGGCACAATCAATTTTTTTTTGCCAACGAATATAAACACACACACACACACACAGTAGCCAGACCATATATATATATATTGATACTATTTGTATGCCACATACACACATTCACACAATGCCAATGTAATTTCATTGTGATGATCCACCATTATAATGGATCATTGAGTTTTAAAACTTTTCACAAAAAAAAAAAAAAATTCAAACCATTCAACCGCTAAATAATGTTTTAAAAAATTTTTTTTTCTCCTTTCTCCTATTGATTATTTAGCCAAATGACCGGAATGAGCACTGAAGATGATATCAGTTTTCAAAATTGGACTGGCAAATTAAACACTACCTATCGTTTAGGTCCTGGATTTCAATCACCAAGTTTAGAGTAAGTTTAAATGTGGACACAGATGCTTGAATTTTAATTACTAGAAATTACAAGAGAAAAAAATATGAAGATTTTTTTTGTTTTGAAAGTAAACAAATTTTTTTTTTTTGTGTGTGATCCAAAATGGTGATCCAATTAAAACCTTGAAACAAACAAAACCAAACAAACATCATTGACAAACAGAAAACATGTTTGTTTGTGTAGCCACAAAAAAACACGCGCCCACATGGTTTAAAATCTGGTCACTTGTGTTATGTAAAACAATTTTTTGTCTTCACAAAACGTTTATCGTCAAACAAAATCACGAAAAAAATTTGTTTTTTCACGTGCAGATCTAAAAAAAACTAATTTCCATTTTCATCAATGAATGAATGAATGATTGAATCAAATCGACACCTTTCATCGAGACAATAGAATAGAATATAGAAAACAAAACAAAAGTTCAAACCAATAACGATGCAAAAAAAAAAAAAGTTCCAGTGAAATTTTTTTCATAAATAGAAAAAAATATGAAAATGAGTCCCATTTGGTTTGGTTTGGTTTGGTTCGGTTAGGTTTGGTCTGGTCTGGTGTGTCCATAAATAAAGGTTTTGCATCCAACGAAAAAAAAAAATAAATGTTTGAAATTGCTTTTCATGAAAACATAAACAACAACACATCATCATCATCATCATATTCAACCCCTTTACACATCATCATCATCATCATCATATGAAACAAAAATCGACAATCGAATCGAAAAGAAAATTAGAGCCATAATCATAAAAACTATAGTTGATGATGATGATGATGATGATGATGATGATGATTGTTTGAAGCAATAACTATAATTTTATGATTTGACAATTTGTGTTTGTTTATATTTCGTTGTTTTTTTTTCATTTTCGTTTTCGTTTTTGAAATTTTGTTTGCAAATAAAAATTTGCATTTTCCATAAAATATGTTTCACTCTCTCTCTCTCTGCTATGAACCAAAAAATAAACAGGACCAAAAGGAGAATGAATAACACATTCATTCATAATAATAATCAACGGCCAATGTTGTTGTTGTTGTTGTCAACATTTTTTTTTTCGTTTTCCAAAAAATTTTTTTTCTTGTTCACCCGGACCATGTGATTTATTGATGGCAATTTATATGTGTGCAGTACAGTTATTATTATTATCATCATCATCATAAAAATTTTTTTTGTTTTGTTTTGTTTCTGGTCGATTCACTATAATTTTTCAAGAACTAAAATCACACGTGTGTGTGTTGGTCGGTCGGTTGGTTGGTTGGTTGGTTGGTTGGTTGGTTAGTTGATTATAAAGATAGCCATCGGTCCAAATCATCATCATCATAATAATAATAATTAGAAAATGATGTTTTTCCCTTTTTCTCATTTTTTGTTGTTGTTGTTGTTGTTGTTGTTCATCTAGTAATAATAATTTAATTTAGTTATGGAAGATCATAATTTACTGTGTTTATCATTATCATTATTATTATTATTATTTTGCCTTCTTTATCGTTTTGCTTTTATTTGTTTATTTATTTATCGTTTTTTTTTCAATTTTCATTTAGATTACGAATGGTAATCAACAATGAAATGGTGGAAAAAATTGTCCATAATGTAATCGGCATTTTGGATGGTGATGTTGAACCGGATCGTTTTGTTATCATTGGCAATCATCGTGATTCATGGAGCTATGGTGCATTGGATGCATCCAGTGGTGGTGCATCAATGTTGGAAAGTGCAAAAATATTTGGCAAATATCATCGTGAAACTGGATGGCGCCCAAGACGATCATTAATATGGGCCAGTTGGGCGGCTGAAGAATTAGGTTTGATTGGTTCCACAGAATGGACTGAACAATTTGCACAATTACTTGAACGTGAAGTTGTAGCTTATATTAATGCAGATATTTGTGTTGATGGACCATATTTAAATGCTGATTCATCACCATCATTAGCATCGATTTTAATCGATTCAACTAAACGTATACCAGCACACAAAATCAACAATAATGATGATGATAATGAATCAAATCAAACATTATACGATAGTTGGTTAGCCAATTCAAATACAGATGAAGTTCATGTAGAAATATTAAGTTCTGGTTCGGATCATGTTCCATTTGCATATGGTCTTGGTATTCCATCGATAAATTTACATTTCAAACATGATCAGGTATGTAATTGTATTCAATGTATATTTTATAATTATTGATCGCGATTGATTTTTATATAGAAAAAATATCCCGTTAATGGCTATCCAGCATATCATACAAATTATGATACATTTTATATGGTCAAAACATTTATAGATCCAGATTTTCATATACATCAATCATGTACACGATTGATAAACATGTTACTGTATTCATTATCATGTTCCACTATTATACCAGTGAATTTTCGCCACTTATCACGACAAATTCTTGATGATTATCAACGGCAATCTATGGATAAAAGATTACGTGATATATTGACGGTGGATGGTAGCCAGGAACAAAAATCAATCAATTTTCTACGTGAATCAATGAAAATATTTGATAATGCAACGGAACAATGGCAAAATCAAATGAAAAATTTCAATTTTACCGATCAACCATTAGCCATTCGTCGTATGAATGATTTAATCATAATGATTGAACGTTCATTTGCTCAAAAATTATTGCCCATGGATGGAAATGAAGAGTTAAAAAATCTTTTATATGGAACATTCAATAAAGATTTCTATCAAACATTGTTATTTCCTGGAATGAATAATTTAATGGCTGAAATTAATGATCAACAATTACGAAAACGACAACAAACTAACCGTTTAACACGTGAAGAGCTAACAAGAATTGATCAACAAACTAATCGTTTGAAACAAACACTGAGGCGCCATCTGAATGATGTTTCATTAGCTTTACGTAATGCAGCTAAATTATTACGTAGAAATATTATGCCAATCATTTGATTGATTGATTGATCATATAGATTGATGGAGTTTTTTTTCCAAAAACTTTTTTTATATAGGAAAAGCAAATTTTTTTGACCATTTCTTTCATGTCTATATATTTATATTATTGATTGATTGATTGACAATTATAATTATCGATGCTTTCATATTTGTAATCGAAACGAATTATTAAATGAATTTTTCATATGAAAAAAAAATGAAAATGTGGAAACAAAACAAAAAATTTTGATTCATCATTAATCATTGAATATATGGAGAAGAATGGAAACGATGATTTGATTAATCGACTTTATTTTGCGGTTTTTTTGATCATCAGAGATGATGATAATGATGATGTACATTACATTTATTGCAATTAATCATATCATCATCGTTGTGGTCTGAATAAATGATCCATAAGCCTTTGGTACCGAAAACAAATGGCAAATCTGTTGTGATATACAATTATTATTATTATTATTATTGCTGAAACGAACGAAAACGAATCATCATCACCAACAACAACAACAACAACAACAACGTCGTATTCTCTCGTTTTTTTTTTTTTTTTTCCATTCTTTCATCGTTTCCAAAAACGACAACGAACAAAAGAACGAAAAAATTTTCGAAGATTAATTATCAAATTATTTAAATCACACACACACACACACACACACACACACTCACACACATTTTCGACAACTTTTATGTTCCATTCATTCATTAAAGACAATTTGTGGTCCATAATCATCATCCGATTTTTTATTTTGGTAACGAAAAAATAGGTTTCATGCTTTTGAACCAAAAATACAAAATAATTAAAACGACAACAACAACAGCAACAACACTCCAACTAAACAATCAAAATTGATCAAACCAATGCTTTTGAATGAAACTCTTGAGTTGAAAAAAATAAAAAAAAAAAAACACGTGTCAAAGTAAAAAGAAAAAGAAAAAGTAACGTGCATCAAACAAATTTTTTTTTGTTTTGTTTTTTTGTTTCTCTTTACTACAATTCAAATGTTGATGATGATTGTTTGATGCAAAGTCATCGTCATCATCATCATCATCATCAGACCAGCCACAATATTCAATTCATTCAATGATGATGATGTATAACAAAGAGATGAATACAAGAAAAAAAAACAAAATTAATTTTGAAATAATTACCGAATTGAATTCTGAATGAATTTTGTTGCTCGCTACCGATTCTGGATGAATCACACACACACATACATACGGTAAAACAACAGAACAGAAATCTCGTTTTTTTCCTTGTTCCAACAAATTCAAGGCTCATTGAATTTTGAATCTCGAATGAACAATATGATTTTGTTTGGTAATCCTTTTCTCGCTTTCTCTCTCTCTTGCTTTTGCCTTTGAATACCGGATTCTGTTTTACAAACAAGAATTGAAATTTAAAATATACAGAAAAAAAAGTTGATGCAGATTTTTTTTTTCGTTTCGTTTTTGTTTTGTTTATTCAGTATATATATATATGATTCCGGATTTCTTTCGTTTTTGTTTTGTTTATTCAGTATATATATATATGATTCCGGATTTCGATAAAGTTTATGTCGTCGATCGTCGAATGAAGTGAACCAGCCGCCGTATCTGTTTAGTCGTGTGTGTAATTATCGTTCAAATTTTTTTTTCTTCTGGAGCAATGCAGAATATATATATGTGGAACGATCCAAAAACACGAAAAATGTTTTTTTTTCGTTTTGTTTTGTTTTTTGATCATAAAAATTTTTATGACTTTAAATTCTGTTGTTGTTGTTTTTTTTTGAATTCTGGAAAATTTATTCTTGTTAGTTGACTTGAATTGAATTGAATGAATGAATGAATATATGATTCTCGCTTTTTCGATCTAATTTACGACAATAATCTTTCGACCATGATCAGGACCAAAAATAAAAAATAAAAAATAAAATGAAGTTGATTCTTAGAATTAGAGTTTATTAATTCTGCAAAAATAAAACTAGATATAAACTATATCAAAACTGCCAAGCAATGAAAATGTGTATTCATTCGAATGCAAATTAGCATCATCAACAAATTCATTGTGAATGAATTTTGGATGCGAATGTGAATAAACATAACACATACACACACACACACACACACACACACACACGGTGAATGAACACATTTCAGGAAATTTTTTTTTTTATTCTACTCAAATATTCTAATATTTCCAGTTCGTATGACGTTTTTGTTGTTGTTGTTGTTGTTGTTGGTCACCATCATCATCATCATCATCATCATTATCACACTTGACTCGTTTAAAAAATAAAAAATTCATTCATTTCAAAAAATTGATGCAAATAAAGTTGTTGTTGTTCGTTTTTTATTTCATCTTCAATTGACTGCTACTACTTTGTTATATCCGCACACAAAAATGGATAATTGGATCCCGACCGACCATTTGTGAACATTGTCCACATTCAAATGTTGATGATGATTTACATTTGGTATACTAAACAAGTTGAAAACCGTGGACGACAACGACAACGACAACGACAACGACAACAAAAAAAAAACATTTCGCACTCCATTTCCACATGGACGATTCTTTAAATTGTATCCATTTTTTATTATTAAAAAAATATAAATAAAAAAAGCTACCAGAATCCGAATTCAGTCACGGGCAAAAGAGACACACTGTCCCCTCATCATCATCATCATCATCGGCTAAAATAAACGATCCAATTGGGACAGCACCATCGCCACCACCACCACCACATGGTCATCATGGATGGGCAATCCAAAATAGAACAAAAAAAGTTTTTAAAATTTATTTGTTTTTCTGGATACAACCATCTCATCATCATTATCATTAAAAGAGAGAGAGAGAGAGATAACTAAATTTTTTCTATTTCCACCCAAAAATGGTTGGTTGAACAATCAAAAAAAAAAAAAAAATTCAACTTTCAACTTTAACAACATGATTTTGGACCAAGTTTCATCACAAGATGTGTGTCTGTGTTTGCGTTGCTTAATTATTTAAAAGTTGTTGTTCCAAAAGGTCCATTTTGAAGAAAAAAAAACTGAAATAATCCAAAATGGAATTTTGTTAACCAAGAAAAAACAAACAGAATTTCTAAATTATTCATCATTCAACTCAAAATACGAAAAAAATTTCTAAAAAAAATGATTATTACATCTACTTGAATCCATTTGTCAAAATGTCCGAATTTGAAAATTTTAAATCTTTCCCCTGAGGTGATTCTCCATATATTGGAATCATTTTTTTGAGTTAAAAACTGTCCAAAAAAATCCAACTTTGCAGCACATCGAAAAAAAAACCAATGATATGGACAAAATGAATTATGAATTGGCTGGTGTTCTGCCTGGAAAACAACACAACATAATGGTTGTTTTTTTTCATTCGCTCCTAAAAAATCCCATAAAATCAATTTTGAAACGGTATTTTTTTCCTGTTCACCGTTAATTTGGTGAGAATATCATTATCGTATCGTTTTTTTGGCTGTTCAATAAATTAATTTTTAAAAGAATCAAATTCACCAAGTTTGGTTAGTTGTCATCAAATGAACACACCGACACACACACACACACACACAATGAATGAATGATGTAATTGACACGCGAAAATCCAGAAACAACAACCAGCCACCTACTAACCAAAATTGACAAAATACACACACACACACACAGAGTCAATTAGAGGCACAGAAAAAGGGCCATCATAATAATGATGATGATGAGAATGGTGAGACTTGTTTAGTCATGGTTGTTGTTGTTGTTGTTGTTTTTTTTCTATTTGTTTGTTCCAAAAATTCTCGTAATTGAATATTATATATGGAGTGGAACAAAAAAAAAAAATTTCTCTCTCTCTCACTCACTCCCTATTATAGATACGGTTATTCAATCACTGCAATTGATTGTATTATCATCCGAATCCAAATCCAAAAAAAAAACTGAATCGATTAATGCGATACATTCTCACATTATTATTCTACATATTTAAAATCAATTCAATTAACATTTGTACGTTTTTGGTCACTTTGTGTGTGTGTGTGTGTGTGTGATACCTTTTTTTATTAATTTTCCATATTTCTCTCCTGCTATAGATTTGACAACAGCTTGTCACATATTAAATGGATGGGATATAATAAAGTAATGAGAAAATGGTGAGAGTTTGAAATGTTTGTCGTCGTCGTTGTTAATTATCCATGACAATTGGTCTCTACGGCTTTTTTCGGTGTTTGAACTGATTGTTGTTGTTGTTGTTGGATCATTGTTGATGGTACGTGTGTGTTGATTGTCAATCCTCTCTAGGACCCCCTTTTTTTCTTGATTGGATTGAATCACAATCACCGTCACACCATCACAACCACTGCCAGTATTCAAGTCAATCAAAAAAAAAAAAAAAAAAAAAGAACAAGCAGAAGCAGCAGGTCAAGCCATCCGTCGTTATTGTTGATAAAAAATGAAACTTTTTTTTTGGATGAAACAAAAAATTTTTCAGCCATTTTCTTCTTCATTTCATAACATTAAAATGAAACAAACACGATGATATGGCGCGTGTCTTTTTTTTCCTGGCGATCAATATTGAGAAAAAAAATGAAAAAAGACGATCACGACCACCACCACCATCACCAATCAAATGACAATAGAGACCAATATTCATCAAATTCAGCAAAATTTCCTGTGATTGAATAGAAAAAAAACTTTTTAATTATGTATACTGAGTATGTGTGTGGTGTGTGTGTGTGCTGAGTTCATCATCATCATCAAAATAATGATGTATGGTATTCAGTAGTGGGGAAAAGAAACGGAAATCGTTTCAGGTTTCCTGGTTACTCGGTATTTGAATTTTTTCAATTTAAAAAAAATTCAGAATACAAAATTTTTTTTTGAAAATCAAACATCAAAACCAGATGATGACCACCAGCATCAACACCACACAATCATCCAAAAAAATCGGTTCAATGAGTTTCCCGTGTCGGGTATTGATAACTTATTTTCTACTTGAAAAATGGGATTATTTTTTTTTTCTACAACTGAACCGGTAATTCTTCAGAATTTTTACATTTTGATTGTTCAATTTTT